ATAAAGGAGGTGTGCTTAGCTTGAGAAAGTGGATTTCATCCACAAAAACTTGCTATTTGTTTTTGGGTCATCCAGTAAAAGATATCACCCAATCTTGCATAGGCTTAATCTTGCATAGACTTAATATGAATTACTCCCATGTCTGCTACCAGTAAAAGTTTTGTTTCCACTTAAGTCTTGTTGAAACATAGTTGACTTGCCCCACTGTTTTCCAAAAAGCTTGGACATGAATAACTTTCTTTGAATCTGAACCAATGTATGCATAATTCTGGGAGATACATAAACTGGAATATACAGATTATAGGATGGATTTTGTTTCAAAGCAAGCAAGGCCCTAATGTCATATACCATCATCTCTCTTCACCTAGAAATACAATCTGGTAACCTGAGACAGCACTTCCTGACAACAGTGTTTCAGCCACTGATCTGTATGTGATACTAATTCTAATTACATTAATGGATCTTACTTTCATTCATAGTACTTCAACATAAGTACTACTTCAGTTGCCCTTTGCAGTCTATAAGCCTCTCAAGCATTGTACTCATCTCCAGGAAAAGAGGAATGTGACTTTCAGTTGAGTACGTCAAATAAGATAAATGCAATTTAACAACCATAACCTTTTCCTAAAACCAGTGGGTTTTCCCCTATACTAAAATCCAAACAGGTGGTATGATGGACATACCTAGACAGGAGATAGCGTATTAGAAAGAGACCCTATTTTCTTTTAAAGAACACAAAAGTAATGATGCCATCTGGTTAAATAGTCAGGAAGATGTAAAGGTTGTAGCTGATAAACCAGTCGGTGTTCAAATCGCACTCTTGTCTGAAAAGTTCACATGTACTGTTTATTAAACTCTTTACCTGTCAGGCTCATTTTTATTCAAAACGGACAAAATAAAAGAAAATGTAACTGAGAATTAAGGTAATCAAGCACAGATTTGGTGGTTATTTTATTCTGCAAAATGTTGTGTCTTGTGGGTTTATTTTTTCTTTTACAAATGGCCTTTGCATATAAATCTTGACGTATACTTCTTGATGTACCTACACTTGAGCCTTTAGGGATACAACAACAGAAAACTACAACTGCAATGTTAATGAAATTATTGAATCAAGAACATTACAGGCTATCGTTCTAGTGTGTTTTAAGACCACTTTTGAAACAGAGGTTCTAGAGTTGTCAAAATTTGATTATACAACTACTTAGATTTTCAACATATGCACCAGTCATTGCCTGGATGGAGAGAACAATTTGGTTCCCATTAAAGCCACCTCAAGACATCAAAATAACAACCCAAAAAAGAGTTCCTTCCAATTTCTGTTTGTAGGTAAAGGTAAAACATTTGTGTGCATACACATACACAGAGGCAAGTGAAGATACTTTTAACCATCAAAATACATATCTTTTAAGATATCCACTAGAAGTCAACCACTACTATCTGATGAATAGTTCTTTTTAAGACACTGCTTTTCAAACCACAATTTAATTAGCCATTGCTAGGAACTTTTTTCTCTGTGTGCAAATCAGTAAATAAATACAATCAGACAATGGTTTCCAAACCACAGTTGATTTTCTTTTTATGGGAAACTAACGAAGCATGCAAAAGCAAAATAAAAGTCAAATGTTCTATGAAGCAGAGTTGCACAGAGATATAAATGTACATTTCTATGTACATCATTATTGCATTTCATTAAAAAAACAATTATGCATATAAGCCGCTTTCATTCATCACGAACTATGACTTGGTCATGTAAATTGCTTCCAATAACATGTACTCTGTTATATCCCTCACACTACAGTAACAGGCTGCATGTAATAAAAGTCTAAAGTTGGAAAACTAAACAGATCCCACAATATGATATAAGTTGGTACATTTAACCATGCAATATGAAATATGCCTTTCCTTTTCTTCTTTTGTTTATTTTTTAAAATTAAAACCAGTCAAATTGTCTAACTTCCTGGCCTACCACTGTATTTGCATGTATGAGCATACATATCTTTATAATGGAATTCTGAACAAGATGCTGTATGGCTTCAGATAACCCAATAGTTACCCTACCTTAGCGTTGACAGCATTGTTTAATATTTTGCTTTGTATACAAATTCCCAAGAAGGTAAAAGCAGAATGGAATCACCTTAACCCAAATTGAAACAGATTGTTCTAGGACCAGAGATCAGAACTAAAGACACAGGAAAATTGAGTTCTCCAACACCTGTGTAAGTTGTTCAATGTGGGAAAGATTCACAGTACCTTTACTTTGTTCTGGTTTTAGTGGTGCAGGTTCAGGAGCAGTCCCTTACATTAGCATGACTAACACAGTATTACATCTAAGATTTAAAGTGTGAAGATGAGTGCCACCATTTTTAGTGCTCTGCCTCCAACAGCAGTTAATTTTATAGCAACTTATCTCGGTGAAAGGAATCACAAAAGAAGTCAGGCGGAATGTGTTCACAAAGTAAGGAAGGGACAGAACATGACTGATTTGGTTATCCTACTTTTGAGAACCTCCAGAATAGTGCCAAGAAACTGCAGAATCAGAGGTCTGATTCTTCACTCCCATATTGCGTATCCATGCTGCATTAGTCCCACTAGAAGCAGGACATTTGACACTGATGTTCTGTGTCAGTTTAACAGTCTCACTGGAGATTTTACTACTAGGAAGCTGAGTGCCCCATTAAATTAAAACTCCCTGGACCTTTGTTAGGCTGAAAATCACACATACTCTAAGAGTGAACTGTTGTCTGTCTCACTGGCTAGATAATAGAAAAGGTGTCAGAGTGCTACAGATTTAAAGGGAACTGTTTTTGGCAGGGTGTCTACCTCTAGTGGCTTAGAATGGTTTCCTCTCTATAGTAACCACAGACTAAAACTCTAAGGGTGGGGGATCTGTTTAAGATTTCCAACCAAGCCCACATTCCCTGATGAATTAGGGAACATAGTAGTAGCAGTAGAGGCAGAAAACAAGATTGCTAGTGTTGGGTTCTATCAAGGAATGTGTTTCCAAAGTGAGGGGAATTCTTGCATCTTTGCTGTGCTGGTGATGCCTGCAGGCTGCTCTGTGGATGGAGGAGCAGTTGGTGGCTGACCCTGCCTCCTCCATCCATTTATGGTATGATAATGACTGTGGTGAGACACAGAGAACAGTCTATCCAGTACTTAGTGCAACCCAGTATGCTGTTCTTCCTCATGGAAGTGGTTTGGCAGTGGGAGTTGGAACTCTGGTACAATTCCCTCTTTGCAGAGAAAATGTACTATAGCCTGTAACCCTCTGGCTATCTGATTATAATGAAAGAGGGAAATGGGGACAGAAGGTACTTCTGTGACTCATTAGCTTGTTGCTAAATGCTCCAAATGGAAATACACCTTCATCTGATGTGTGTAACAGATACTGGGGAGTGAAGGTTAGGGCTATGAATGAACAAGTAAGTGCCCAGCTTGCTTTGGCTATCTGGAAGTTTCACCAGTTACATTTCACTTTTGCCTCTCTCGCATTAGGGTGCCAGAGTGGCATTTTCAAATATGGTGCCACTCAACTATCAGCTACTCCCAATGAACTGAACTGGGCTGCCTATGCAGTCAAGCTGGTGTCTTTGTAGTCCTTGAATGTATTTCTTTGTGGGTTGCATGGTGTGGCTCCATTACCCTCATGTGCGCTCACATGTGCACATGTGACTGAGAATAGGTACAATCATGTGTCTGTCTCCAGCTACAGCTTTCTGTTGATCTGAGTATGTCAGTACGCATGACAAGGAGAAAGAAAAGAGGAAGGCGGAAGGCAGGGGACATCTCTTGCTCTTTCCCTTGCCTTCCATGCTTCCCTGTGTGTTGTCTATCAGTATGAAAACAAACACTAGATGGAAATTGTTTCTTTCATTTCTAGTGTGATCAAAAGGGGTAGCATTTGTTCCTCTAATGCATGTTCATTATCCACATCTATATCAGGGCTTATTCTAAATTACTGAACCAGAAAGTTGATGTCTTGGGCATGTCTGCCAAGGGTAGGCCTGATTAGAAGTAGGAGGTGGGATGGTGCGTGGTTGTAGGGGCAGAGAGAAAATAGTTTGATGGACTTGGCTGTCAATGATTACAAGAAAACTGTGTACAGTATAAGAGAAATGTATACCGAAATCCCATACTGGCTGTCATGAGTGAGCCTGTGGGAGAGCTGGTCCTACTGGTTATACTTTGGCTGTGGGGCAGACAGCTGTGTTGTGCTACAGAGTGTGATAGTGGATAAAATGTTTAACAGGTGTAACCACCTATGTGGACTTGTATGAGAGCCAGGGAGAGAGAGAGAGAGAGAGATGGTAAGATGACAGGTATCTGTCTGTGAAGATCACTTAAATGAGAACCATAGTTTTGTTAGTATACTCCAGCTCTCCTGACTCACTCATAATTGGACTGCAGAGTGAATCCAAAATAAAGTTGGTTTTGGTCCATACATGCATGCTAATATTTGAGTTGATGCTATTGGTCCCTCAGCAAGATTTGACTATCTAGATAGAGTGAGAAAGGCTCTAAGGAGCTGGCTGCATGCAAGTGTGAACATGGCATTAAGGAGAGGAGAGATTGTGGGCAAATCTGGCTGGGGTGAGAGCTGCTCACTTCCTAACTGGGCACAATAAAGATCTTTAACTATAATTATCCACTTCCTCTCAGCAGATTTGCTTGTTCTGAACAGACAACAACATTCCTCTACATTTGCAGTTGAATACAGAGGCTAGAAATTCTTCTCTGCACTTTTGATTGTATGGCACACAGGTAGGCTTATTTTTAACTGAAGCTCACTTATTGGACACTTAACTTGGTCCTCCTGAAGGAAGGTCCAAGTGTGAAGGTTTGTGAGCCACCGGAGGGAAGCTGGAGGGAGGAGGGGGCATCTGGGCTCCTTCCTCCCCCCTCCCTTATTTTCCTTCCCTCCTTCCCTCCCTCCCTTCCATCCATCCATCTCTGCGTCCATCTCTCCATCCATCTCTCCTGCCCTCCCGCTCCCTGCTTACCTGCTTGCTGTACTTGCTGCTGGCTTGACAGCTGTACTCGGAGCAGTGGTCCGACCCGATGGAGATGTTGTCCCCCGCGCCCACAAAGGTGTTGGCCGGGGGCAGTTCCTGCACGGCCTGGTGTTTTTTCCCGGCGGTGGGGGACTGCGGGTGAAGCTGGACGGTGGGCAAGGGCGAGCTCGATTTGTAATGCCTGGCCAGGTCCGGGCTGCCCGGCCCTCCGTTGACGGAGCGGTAGCGGCTCATGCTGGGGCTGTCGGCGGAGAGCTTCTCGTTGACGCCGTCGTAGCGCTGCCCGTTGGGCTTGGACGCCTCGACGGTGACGATGCTGCTGTAGAGGGGCTGCTTGCCGGCCTTCTTGCCCTTCTTGTCCTTCTTGGGCTTCTTGGCCTTCTCGTGCTGCTGGGGCGTGAAGAAGTCCTCGTGGTCCTTCTTGCCGGCCTCGTAGCCGCCGTGCTTGCCCTTGGAGCGGCAGTAGCGGGCCAGGACCACCACCAGGATGAGGAGGACGACGGTCATGATGCCGGCCACCACGCCCACCACGATGCTGAGGCGCTGCTTGCTGAGCTCGTAGCTGGGGTCGCCGGCGATGTCCTGGGCCAGCGGGGTGTGCAGGCTGCGCGCCACCTGGCTCTCCACCAGGGTGGCGTTGGCCAGGCTCTCGTTGACGAAGACGTGGAGCAGGGCGGTGGTGGCCTGCGGCGGCTGCCCGCTGTCGTTGACCTGCACCACCAGGCGGTGGAGGCCGTAGTGCTTGGGTGCCAGCTTGCCCACCAGCGACACCACCCCGCTCGACGGGTCGATCTCGAAGAGCTTGAAGGGGTTGCCGCCCACCAGGCTGAAGCTCAGCTCCGCGTTCTGCCCGGCGTCGGCGTCGCGGGCCTGCACGGTGGTGACCACCGAGCGGAGCCCGCTGGACGGCGGCAGGACCGTGTACGAGCTGTTGCCCGGCGCCGTCACCACCGGCGCGTTGTCGTTCTCGTCCATGACGAAGAGCGAGACGGTGGCCGTGGCCGAGCGCGCCGGCTCGCCGCCGTCCACCGCCTTCACCCGGAACGTGTAGCTGGTCTGCAGCTCCCGGTCGAAGGAGACGGTGGAGTAGATGGTGCCGGTGTCGTTCTCGATGGAGAAGATGCTGGGCGAGGCGCCGCCGCCGGGCCCGGCCGACTCGCTGGGCTGGATGGCGAGGCTGAGCTGGGCGTTGCGCCCCTTGTCGGCGTCCATCACGGTCACCATGCCCACGGGGCTGTTGGGCTGCAGGTTCTCCTTGACGTAGAAGGTGAAGACGTCCTGCATGAAGCGCGGCTCGTTGTCGTTGCGGTCGGCCACCCGCACCACCACCGTGGTGGAGCCCTGCAGGGAGGGCACCCCTTTGTCCCGGGCCGTCACCTGGAACTCGTAGGTGTCCCGCTGCTCGCGGTCCAGCACCGCCTGGACCCGCACGTCTCCCGAGTCCGGGTCGATGGTGAAGAGTCCGCTAGGGGAGTCGGCCGAGAGCGGCGAGGGCTCCAGGGAATAGGCGATCTCGGCGTTCTTGCCGCTGTCCGCGTCCGTGGCCAGCACCGTGGCCACCCGCTCGCCCGGCGCGTTGTTCTCCGGGAAGGAGACCTCGAGCACAGCCTGGCCAAAGACCGGCGGGTTGTCGTTCGTGTCCGCCACCCGCACCAGGAGGGAGTTGTTGCTGGACAGGCTGGGGCTGCCCGAGTCGACGGCCACGATCACCACGTTGTAGTCGCGCACGGCCTCGTAGTCGAGAGGCGCGGAGGTGTGGAGGAAGTACTTGCGCTTGTTCTGGGGCTCGCCTTCGCCCTCGCTGGCCGGCTTGAGTTGAAAGGGCACGTCCCCCACCACCGTGCAAGTCACGACCCCGTTTTCCCCCTGGTCCCGGTCGGAGACCTGCACCAGGGCGATCGGAGTGTCCACCAGCACGTCCTCAGCCACAGTGGCCACGCCGTCGCGCAACGGGATGCGCCCGATCTTGCGGATGTCGATCGTGGGCACGTTGTCGTTCTCGTCGCGGATGTTGAGGACCACCGTGGCCTTGTCCGTCTTGGGCGGCTGCCCGCGATCCCGGGCCATGACGGTGAAGCGGAGCTGGTTCACCTCCTCGCGATCGATGCGGTGCAGGACGCTGAGCCAGCCCGAGGATTCGTCGAGGCGTAGCAAGCGCCTCACCGACTCCGTGGCAGCCCCAAAGACATACTCGATCTGCCCATTCACGCCGACGTCCGAGTCGGCCGCCCTCAGTTGCAGGATTAGGGTGCCGGGGCTGCTGTTCTCGGCCAGGTCCGCCTCATAGACGCTTTTCTCGAAGCGGGGGCTGTTGTCGTTCACGTCGGTGATCAGGACGCGGAGGATGGCCTGCGAGGAGCGCGGCGGGTCTCCCCCGTCCCGGACCCGTAGGCTCAGCTCATAGGAGTCGCGCTGCTCGCGATCCAGCGCCCCTTTGACGATCAGCTGAGGCTGTTTCTGCCCATCGGGGGTATCGGCCACTTGCAGCTCGAAGACGCTGCTCCGGGCCGCGCTGTCGGCCTCCTGCCTCCTCTTGCTGCCTCCGGGGTAGAGGGCGCTGTCGGAGGCGGCGGAAGACGAGCTTCCTCCCCCGCCCCGCCTGCCGCCCTCGCTGCCGGGCTCCTGGAGCAGCTCGTAGCGCTCGATGCCGTTGCGTCCGAAGTCCCGGTCGGTGGCTGTGGGGAGCAGGTAGAGGGTTCCCACGGGGCGATTCTCCTCCACGGTGAGGGTGAGGACGGGGGAGGGGAAGGTGGGGGTGTTGTCGTTGATGTCTAGGATGATGACCCGGCCCTCAAAGAGGTCCACCCAGCTCTGCGAGGGTCCGATCATCGACACCTCGAAGTCCAAGAAGCACTCGTTCTCGTCGAAGATCATCTGGCACTGCGGCAGCTTCTCGCGGTCGATGCGCCGCTCGGTGGTGCTCAGCTCGCCCGTCATGTTGTCGATCTTCAGGTAGTCGGAGCCGGACTCCAGGCTGAACGTCACCTCGCCGGAGCCCGTCACTTTGCCCAGGTCCGAAGCCACGTTGCCGATGCGGATGTCGGCCGGTCCTTCCTCGGCCAGCCGGTAGCGCAGCATTTGCTTCGCCGCCGCCAGGCTGACCCAAAGCGGCGGCGGCAACAGGAGCAAGAAGCAGCAGCAGCAGTAGCAGCCGTGCACAAAGCCCAGGAGCGTCCGCATCTTCCACATCGTCGTCGGCACCCCAATCAAAAGCCCCACCACCAGCTTCCTCTGCCCACCCGTGCCAGGAAACGCCGCCCGCCCCGCCGCCGCCGCCGCCGCCGCAAGCCAACAGAAAACGCTGAGCGTCTGGCTGAAGCTCGGCGATCAAATCCTTCGGCTCTTGCAAAAAACTTTGGTTCTCATCCTCTCTGACGCAGTAAGTCCGAGGGAGGGGGGAGAAATCGGGGTTCGGCTGGCGGCTCTCCCCACCTCTGCCTCCCTTCCTTTTGCCGTGGTTCTATACTCACAGTTCACGGGGCAAGTGTATTTTGCTTTTTTAAAGATTCATCTCGGCAGATAGGAGGGGGGGAGTTCCGCCTCTTCCTCCTCCTCCTTCTCCTCCTCCTCGTCCTTCCCCCGCCGATGGTACTGTAATCGCTTTGCAAGGTTTGCAAGAAAAGCAATAGCAGCAGCCGGGAGAGGGTTGATGCAACACTCCCTCTCCTCCTCTCCTCTCCCCCCCCCCACGCCGCCCAAGTCGCCTTCTCTTCTACTCCAGTCCAGTTCAATTCACTCTCTCACTCTCTCCCCCTCTTCTGCTTCTCCGGGCTCGCTCCCCTGCCCGTAGTCCTTTACCGCTGTGGAATTAGCTCTTTTCTCTCCTCCGCTCCGCATACACACGCCGAGGAGGGGTCGCGGGGAATGTCAATTGCTTCATTCAGAGAGTGCTGGTGTCCGGCTGGAGGGGGGAAAAAAGGCAGAGAGAGAGAGGGAAGAAGACAAGGCAGCCACCAAATCCTCTTAGCACTAGATGGAGGGGTTGGGTGAATAAAAATAGCCCCGCTAGAGAGAAACAAAATCTACAATCTCTAACGCTGCGAGATCGACAGGAGGAGATATTTGGTAAGAGTGCCTCCCTGCCTCCTCCTTACAGAGCAGTCCTCCAGAAATCCCCTTCCATGTTCAGGATAGCGCCCAAATCCATCTTTAGCGATCGCCTCCAATGTTCAATTTCCTTCTCCGGAGAAGAGGGTTCTTCTTAAAAAAAAGAGTGGGGGGGGAACTCTGCGCAAGGTCATTAGTCACAAAGCAACATGGTACAAAAGCTGCAGGAGATGTTCGTCCAGAATGTAACAAGGGATGGAGAGAAAGGCACATCGACCTCGTTCACCGTCTCTTTCTCTTGCGCACGCACACATACACACGCACAGCACAACAATCCCAAGTTTGCTTTTGCATCCGCAGTTGGTGTGTATGTGTGTGTGTGTGTGTGTGTGTGTCTTACCTGCATTTACACTGCATGTGTTAGAGCGATCGGAGGCTGCAGCACTGAGAAGAGCGATTCACAAATGAGATTGCAGTCTCGCTCGCTCGCTCGTTCGTTTCTTCGTGGCCGTCCCAATGCAGGTGAACCAGCTCTGAACTTCAGCCCCCGTTTCCCTGCCCCCCCCAGTTCAAAGGTTAGCTGTGGGGTGAATGTGTGTGAGCCCGAAGCCGGGTTTGCTGGAGTCCGTGTCCCCCCTCCTCGTTAATATATCCAAAGCCGGGCGGGGAGGGGAGGGAAAGATGTAACTGGATCTTCTTTCCACGTGAATCACCACCACCGATTCTGAATTACATCCGTATCGATGGAATTTAGAGAAAGAGCAGGGTGGGTTGAAAAGCATAAAAGGGGGGGGGGGAACCAACACCATCTATGTCCAAAGGGTTCTGTGGATTGTTTGTTTAATTAAAGACAGAGCCTTGGCTGCCAATGAAAGACGACCCGAGTCAGTAGTTTTCCTCGGAAGTGCACCGCCACGCCGGGTGAGCTCTGCGATTCTGGTGGTTTATAAAGCCCCCCCTTTTTTTCCTGGCTCGCCTCGCTCAAGTGCGGCTGGTTGGCGCAGGGCGCTCGGTCTCCGCTCCTTCTGCCTCTGACACAGACGCGCGCGCCCGGCAGAGAAGAGCGAGCGAAGGCGACGTTTCGCGCACGGCCACAGGAACCGGGAGGCAAAGGCAACGGAGCATCAAGTTTTGCCCAAAGTGCTTGGGAAGCTGCCGGGAAGCCTCGGTCGGTGGCTCTTCACGGTCGATGCTGCCGCTGCTGCAGAGCCGCCTGTGTACTACATACACGGAGGGGGAGAGAGAGAGGGAGATCGGCAAGCAGGCGGGCAGGCGGGGGTGGGGGTGAGAGAGCGAGAGCGAGTGGGGAGGAGTTGGGAGCCGCCGAGCGCTGCGCTCCAGCAAAGCCCAGCATTTACCCTTTGCCGTGGCTGCTGCTGCTGCTGCTGCTGCTGGCAAGCGGGGGTCCTGTCACCAGCCTTTGTCTACCCCCCGGGAAACCTCTTCTCATTACTTCCGCCGCCGCCATCGGACGGCGGATCTTGCTGGGCTTCATCCCAATCGGCGATCGGCTCAGTGCCTCTCGCTCCCTCCCTGGCCATGAAATAAAATAAAATTCCGACAAACACTCTTCTGCGTTAAGTGAGATGGCTTTACAAACAGACCTTTCTCATTAACGGAATAGTTCCTTCTCGACATACCCTGAAAAATGGGATGCATGCCGGGGGGGGGGGAAGGGGTCAAGAAACAGGGGGTGGTTGTGGAAACGGAGAGATGGCTGGAGCTGAGAGTATCCGTTTTGCGTGTGCTTTTTGTTGTTTTAACTTTTCGCTTTCTGGTTTTGGAAGCTAATAACAGGCAGGCAGATGATGAGCTGCAGTGACTAGAACAAGATCAAAACTCCTGGGAGGAGGAGGACGACGACGACGACGAGGGAGCCCGAAGACTTATGCTTTGGGGCGAAGAGGTGTGGATTGGAATCTCCAGTCTGCCCGAGTCCCACAGCTGGAATATCAACCCTTAAAATAAAATCTCATTTTTAATGCGTCGCCTGGAAAGATGGATCTCTCTCTTCTCTTTGGTCCTAGGGAGAAGGGGGGGGAGAGAGAGGGAGACGCTGTGGTGGGTAAAAATAAAATAAGCCGTGGATGCCGGTGGCAAGGGAACCAGAGGAATTGTCAAATCTGCACGTATAAAAGAGAAATCTCATTTATTTCCGACGAGTTGTTCCCGTGGCTGCGAGAAAGCCCAGCGTCGCCTCCCAAGTGTCGGAAAGCAACTTTCACGCCAACTCCCTCCACTCCGGTCTATTCCCGCGACCCTCGTTCGCCACTTTCTCCTCCAGACTCTGGAGCGTTTAATCGCCCGTGGCATTTGCCTGCCTCGGCTCTTTCTTTTGGGGCGGGAAGGGGGGGGCGCACGGAAGAGGCTCGCCGGCTGCTCCAGCCCCCGCCTTTCCTCATTGCGTTACCCGGCCTCCTCTGTTCTCCTCTCCACACAGGAGGCGTTTGAGCGGGTGAGGCTGAGCGAGAGCAGAGACACCTCCAGGCAGCTGGCGGAGGAAGAGGGCGAGCCAGGGCAGGAGCGGGGGGGGCAACGCCAGAAAGGGGGCAGGGGGAGAGGAAGAAGGCCTGGGAATTCCTGTCCCCCTGCGGAGAAATGCTGAGCCGCCGTGGAGCCATGAAGATATATAGAAGCCTTTTTACATGTTCTGACAAGAACGACCGTTCCTGTGAAGGGTTCACGACAGCGGGGGTTCAAACGGAACCGGCGGGAAAATGCTGTGTGGGGGCGGGCGCGAAAGGAAGGACCCGCAGCGCCCTTAGAAGGGACACCGAGCCGGCTACAGCCCGCGCGCTTCTCTCTCCTGCCGCCGAGGCGGCCCCGCACTGTTCCCGCGCCGCCAGGCCTCCCTCCTTTCGGCGCGACTGAGGCGGCTGCAACAGCTGCAGGCACTCGGCGGGCTCCTTCTCTCGCTTCCCTCCCACCCGCCTCCCTGGTTGGCCGACCAGCCTCTCGAGCCCCGCCTCCGCAGGACCTCGCCGGCGAGACCCTGGGTTTTTATATCTGCAGCATCAGCCAGAAAACGCGACTTGGCGCAGGCTCAGTGTGCCTCGCCGCAGTCCCGGTGTGGGGAAGGGAGAAGGGGGAAGGAGGGAGGGAGGGAGAAGCCAACAGTGCATTTATTGCTTCAGGCAACCAAGCAGACAAATGCACACATGGATGCCATTGGAATGGCCACTATAGAAAGCAAATAGGCTACATGATTGGAAGCAGAGGGTAGAGAAGCTCTATTCTTTCTGCAAAAATAAGAACAACTTGACTGTGGGTTTTTTTTAAAAAAAGGAAAGAAAAAAATGTATAACCGACTCGCTGTCTCCCCCACCTCACCCCCGGCCGCTCCCAAGTTCTCCGTTGAGTCGACTCGGCAGGCAAGACGGTTCTTGCCCCGACTAGGAGCTCCAGGCGTGCCAGCAGCGATCCCGAGGAGTAAGGATGATGCGGCCCTGCCAGAACAGCTGCTGCACTGCATTATTGCATGGGTTCGCTTTTAAAGCGTGGGTGGGAAAGAGCCAAACCGAGATCCTGGTCGCGTGGAGGGCCAAGGCACTCTCGGTGGATGAATGATGCGGCCAGAACAGCTGCTGCACTGCATTATTGCATGGGTTCGCTTTTAAAGCGTGGGTGGGAAAGAGCCAAACCGAGATCCTGGTCGCGTGGAGGGCCAAGGCATTCTCGGTGGATGAGGTCTGGGGACGACCCTCGTTCCATCAGAACCCTTCGGAAACTTTGACAGCTCCGAGGAACCGGAGGCTCGCTTTCATTCGGGAGCGAGTCCGACGCGCTGCCTGCCGAGGCGAGGCACCCGCAGCCGGCGATGCTGGGTGGGAAAGAGCCAAACCGAGATCCTGGTCGCGTGGAGGGCCAAGGCATTCTCGGTGGATGAGGTCTGGGGACGACCCTCGTTCCATCAGAACCCTTCGGAAACTTTGACAGCTCCGAGGAACCGGAGGCTCGCTTTCATTCGGGAGCGAGTCCGACGCGCTGCCTGCCGAGGCGAGGCACCCGCAGCCGGCGATGCGATGGGCGTCGCTCCTCGCCCACTTCCGCCTCCCGCTCTGCCCCCCCTCCCACGGCCCGATTTCCCGTTCGTGTTCTCGTTCATGCCGCGGTCGGGGCCGAATGTGCACGGCAGACACCGAGCACAGCGGGTGGGG